GCTCAGATGCCTGTGTGGTATCTGTGCAGAAGTAAATGATGCTGACAGCTGTCAGTCACAGTTAAAAAATTAATTGCTTGTTAGTCAAGAACAAGGGAATAAATCTGGAAAAAAGATTCAGAACATAATAGAAATTGAAAAATAGGCACTTACGATTCCTCTCTAGCAGGTTTTGATATGATGTAATACTTTTTTCAACGTTTGACTCATCATCCACGTTAGTTCCTATATTTCAAACCATGGTAAGACTTTCGAGGTAAGATGTCAGAAATTATCAATTGTGTCAAAGTTGAATACAGCAATGCACATGTGAATTGAACTCTGAAGACGACGTTTCATAAGCCAGTGAGTTATGTAAAGTTGATGATGCATAATAATCAACACATTGTGTGATGTGGCTAGTATCAAGGCTGGCATTATTGATTCTTTCCAGTTTCCTAGCTGCAGAGGAAATTTACTCCATCTCATGCATCCTTCATATAATATACCTGAGATCTTTCGTTCTTATCTGGAATATCTACCACAAATTGAGCCATAGATAACATGGGCAACCTGTTGTTGCTTCATTTTAACAATTCATTCTACTTTATGCCTCAGGCTGTATAGTATTTCTAAACAAAACTACCGCTTGCCCTCTGTGAATATTATTGACATTTCGCTTGGCATTTAAAAATATAATTTATTTATTTCTGAAAGCTTACTGATTTTCCAAGTCCTAATCTTGGAATTAAGTAAATATTTTGATTTCATTTCTCTGCACTCTTTATCTTGTTGCTGGCTGTTTTAGATTCTGGTGCAAGCAGTCTCTATATTGCTGTAGCTAGCATTTTGACACTAAATTTCATGCCAATTCAGGCTTGTGTTAAGGCTTAGGCTCAATTAGAATTGTTAACCACAATATCTTGGTTCTGTCAGAATTACTATTACCACTTTCCTACCCATCAGGCTGTCCACAAATAAGATTGTGAATGGTGAATGAATTTCTGTTAGTTCTGGTATACAAACTGATGCGTTTGGAACCTAAATGAAGTCTTTCGAAACTCCTTACTTGTAGAACTACATCAGTTTAGGGCTGATAGCTGGACATCAACAACACAATAGTGTGTGTGATCCTTTAAAAATAACTAATTCCATCTCTTACTTTAGTGTTGTTACACATGCATATGCCATATATAAGGTGAATGCTGGAAAATCGTTGTTGACACTTTCATTCCAGAGGTTAAGTTCTGCTCTTGTAGAACAATATTTTGATTAGCTTTCTAGTCTTTCTGTATTAGAAGCATTTGGTTATGTCCAGGGAGTAAATTGTATTTAAAATTATTCCCTTTATATATGTAAACAAAATCACTTTTTTATATGGATTAATGAAAATAATTTGTCCTAAAAAGATCACTAAATCTTCTTATTAAAGAGAAGCAAATGAAAACAGTCAAGAAACAAGTAACTAATTAAAGTGGGGTAATGTTGGGGAGCGGGAGGTCAACTCATTTGAATGAAAAGATTGGTTGTGCACCCTTAAACTCTAAAAACAAATTTGAACTGCTATACTAATTTTTGACATAGAAATAATTTTGAAAATTACTCAACTTAATTATCCTATAGTATTAAGCCAATCTGATCAATCTGTGGTTTCAGGCTTTTAGCCTAGATACTCGAGGCTTTAGGTATTGCGAGGAGTCTTACAAACTGCTTCTTTTTTGGCATGTTCAGCAAGCATTAGACCAGTGACTCAGAAACAGTTTTATGACTTGTGATTGTGGCACATCCACATCCTTGAATGTTTTTCATTCGTTCCAAAGTCTGACTTTTATCACTGTATTTCAGCCTTCCCCCAGAGTATTTAAATGTACAATTATAATTTTGCAAATGCTTCTCAACTCCAAGTTGACCCTTCTCCTGCTGCCTAGCCTCTCACTATGCAAAATATCTATTCTTACGTATTCTCCTGTTACGTACATCCTAAAAGGAATAGCTCCAAGATTCAGATCTCTGTTTATCAGGCCTCACTCACTACAATGATCATATGTTGTATCTCATCTTGTGCAGCTGGTTGTACAACATGGGCCTATGGGCTAAAATGTGGCTTGTTAGCGGAGTCTGACTTGGTGGGTCCATATTGTTCAAAATGTATAATTGGAAGATTTTGAGAAGAGTTGCTCCCCTAATCAGAGGCTTTCTCTCCCATATTTGCTTCTGATAGGTTGAGCAACAAATGTGAGAAAGGAACATTGATTTGTGAGGAGTGAAGTGACAGTCAGGCTAAAGATAGGCAAGAAGAGTTTGTCAGGCCACCTGGAAGAGGTGGGGAGTGGTGACTGAGTGATAACTAAGTGGGCAGACAGACAGAGCTGAGTGAATGACTGACTATGATGTTAGCTGGGTGCATGAGTCACTGGGGCTTGCTGGGTGAGTAAATGAGTTACGGGAGGAAGCATGCAGTAGACGGATAGGTGAGTGAGTGAGTGAATGACTGACGTGAGTGGAACTAACTAAGACACACCTACCCTTACCACTTTCCTCTGCTTTACCCAAACGACCCCTGCCCTACGAACTCCTATCTGCAAAGCAGACTAGAAAAAGGAGAAAATCCCAGGATGAAAGATAACCTACTTACAATTCATACTTTTATGTGAATTATCCCAAAGCCAGCATGGAGCGTGCCTCACTAGAGGCTAACCATGGTCAGTGTTAGTTAAACCTCATTCTTGGACCTGGTGTCCATAACCTTAGGACTTGGGGCCTAAATTTTTCTTTCTCCACCTGAAAAAGTCCATCCTTGGCCTCCTCCAGTGTTGCAGCGACTCAATGCAGATTTGAAGAACAACACCTTGTCCTCCACCTGGGCACGCTACAGCCTGAAGAATTCAGTGTTGGTTCTCCAATTTCAAACAACCTTCCCACCCATCGCCAGGCTTCCTTTCCAGGCCCACCTCCTCCCTTCCATTCCACCTTCTGACCCTCCCTTCCAGCCACCAACTGGATTCATCCCTCCCATCAGCTAACCAGGTCATACCTATTACCAGTGTCCACCTCTCACCACCGTTCCGCTACCCCCTCCTTGCCCCCTCTCCTTATCTGCAGCTCCTCCCACCCCCACATCCAGTCCTGAAGAAACATTGACTTTTCCAGATACTGCCTGGCTTACTGTGTTGTTCCAGCCTCCTGTTTGTCTACCTTGAATTCCAGCATCTGCAGCTTTTTGTCTCTAAACAAAGAATGTCTGCTGCTTCACACTTTCTTAGTGGATATTTTAATAAATTAGTCATTTAAATGATGAATTTATTACTTTGAGACAGCGTATTTTTCCTTTAAAATCCATGTTTATTGTTGTGGGAACCTTATCTTTCTGAAATTTGCTTATTGGCACCCAGAGTGAGGGAAAACAATACTGAAATATGGATCTCCATGGGAAAAAGATAGGCATTCCTGATAGTGAGCCTTTCCTCACTTGAGCTTTCCACCTGTCATTGAACTTCTGTTATCTTAGTAACATAGATAGAAACATAGAATATAGGAACAAGAGCAGGCCATTCAATCCTTTCACTCTTTTCCACCATTCAAAATAATCATGACTGATCATCGAACTCAGTCCCCTGTTCCTGCTTTCTCCCGTTTGATGTCTTTAGTCCTAAGATCTATATTTACATCTTTCTTGAAAGTCTTCAATGTTTCAGCCTCAACAGTTTCCTGTGGCAGCAAATTCCACAGGCTCACTACCCTCTGGATGCAAAACATTATTCCTCACCTTTGTCCTGTAAAGTCTACTCTTTTAACTTTAGGCTGTGACCCCTGGCTCTGGAATCTTGTGATGTACTGTGAGGTAAGACATTGATATAGACTACATTAATAAAGCTATGCTTGAGTGTCATTTAGAGTTAGGTGTATAGGACAAGCATGAAACAGGGAAGAAGAGTTGTGGGGAGTAGTGAGGTTAAAGAATGAGCAAATAAGTCAAACACACAATGCAGGAAGTTCCATCTGACCAAAGTCTTGGAAGGGGAAAATTACCTGGACACTTTGCTCCATGAGGCACAATGTCTACAGCTCAAACTCTAACTCCTCAACTTGGATCCAAAGTTCCTTGAGCTGCAAACACCTAGCGCAGATGTGTTCTGAGTCACCTCGATTTCCAACAGTTTCCTCATCTTGCAGCAGCATAACTATGTCACGCATCCTTCATTGCAGTTATACTTAATTTAGTTGGTTACCTTGCTATCATATCACTGCTGCGACTTGAAGAGTTGCCTACTGTTCACCTATTGGAATTTTCATTCTTATTGGATTTTGTTTAAAGATTATTATCCAGCATTTTGTTAACAAGCTAGTTTTAAGAAAAAGAAAGTAGCAACCTAAACACAAACTAAAGCCCTGACTTTTACTTTAAATGCAAGAAATACCCCGCAATCCTATTGACAAGGCATATGTTGTTCAATATGTCATATTGTTGTTCATGATGTTACTCGCAACTACTGCAGGTAGACATCTCAGTCTGTGACTTCTTCATCTCTCTTGTGCCACTCATTAACATAAACCAGTTTGAACCTAAGGAATAAAATAAAACCTAGATACTCATCAATTAACCAGCTTCTTTTCCTGTAGCTGAGCAAGAATCAATTCCTAGATGCTGCAAATGTTTACTTAAAAGAAACCAAAAAACTTCTCTCTCCCTCTTCAGAACACCCTGAAACACTCAGCTGTAAAAATCTATTGGACGTCAGTTGGCTACTTAAAAATTTACTCCTAACACAAGAAATCTGTGAAGGCTCTTAAAGGGGTTGCAGTTTCAGCTTGTTCTTAATCAAGCTATTCTTTCAGTGGAATATTTGAAAAACTCCTACTGGCAACTATAGAATTTAAACTGTAGCTTTTTAGTTTAATACTAACGACAACCTACAAACTAAAAAAAAAGAATAATTGCGCTCAGTCCTAGCTTTTCTTTACACTTTTCTCCATGGAGAATCAGCTGTGTAATGTTATTCATTCTTTTTGTTTTCTTCCAGAGAAACAATGGAAACTGTCACAGAATTATATAACAAAGTGGATGAGGGAATCCATGAGCTGGTTATGTTATCTAATAAATGTATTCAGGAACTAGAGTTTTTGAAAGAATTCAAAACACATGAAAGAGAGTTTAAGGAGGTAAGAGATTAATGAATCAATTGAAAGATTAATGATCCATATAATGTTTAGTCAGTTCACAAACGTATTTTGATATTTTGAAGATGAAGTAACCAGGCAATAGCTTTTGCCATATGAAGGCATTGTATGATAAACATTAGGAACCAGAGAGAACCATTTAGCCCCATGACAAGATCCTGGTTGATCTGTATTCCACTTGATTTGCCTGACTTCTTAAAAAAAAATTCATTCATGGATGAGGGCGTCCCTGACTGGACCAGGATTAATTACCCATTCCTAATTACTCAGAGGGCAATTAAGAGTCAACCACATTACTGTGGGTAACGGACGGCGGTTTCCTTCCTTGAAGAGCGTTAGTGAACAAGATGGGTAGCTATGCCACATATCCTTAATAAAACCCTATCTGCCTTGGTCTTGAGCTCCAGTTGTACTATTAAAGTTAACCTTTTGGTGAAGAGAATTTCAGATTCATATCACAGTTTGTGTATTTGTATACATTTATATATATATTTGGACTTTCAGAAAACATTTGATACAGTGCCAGATGGCAGATTGGTTAGCAAATTAGAAATGTTTGGGATTGATGGATCCTTGGATTAGATGTTGGCTAAAAGATAGAAAACAGAGTGGGTATTGTAGGGGGTATCTCTCAGATTGGAAAAAAGGTTCAAAGTGGTGTTCCCCAGGGATTGGTGTTGGGACCCTTGCCTTTCCTGATTTATATAAACTTTGATTTGTAGAAGGTGTTGAGGGCAAAATCTCTAAATTTGCAGATAATTCTAAGCTAAGGAGAATAGTGGATATTAAGGATGATGCTCAGCAATTTCAGAGGGACACTGACAAGTTGGTCCAATGGGCAGACACCTGGCAGGTGAACTTCAGTGCACAGACATGGAAGGTAATGCATTTTGGTAGAAGAAACATACAATAATCAGGCTGAGTGGTCTAACTTTGAGGGGAGTACAGGAGCAGAGGGATATTGGGTTCAAGTGCATTATTCTCAGAAGGTGCTTTGAGGAGTTGCTTTGCCAACCAGAAGTTCAGTTACTGTCATGCTCCTCCAATCATAGGTTCCTCCTTTCTGCTTTGCTGCTCCGTTAGACTCAAAATCTGTGATTGGAGGAACAGCAGGGTCAGAATGGAAGGAATTGTGATTGGAGAAATTAATCTGGTTGCTTCTACCCATGAAAGGGATTTGCCGATTGAAGCAGGCCCAGCAGAGCCCTCACGTAGCTTGACCAAGGTGAATGTCTTTGGGGGTGACCAAGCTTCAGCTGGTCATGAGGGGAGGTGATGACATAATGGTACTATCAGTAAACTATTAATCCAAAGACGTGGGTATTTTGGGTTTAAATTTCACCATAGCAAATAGTGGAATTTGAATTCAATAATTAAATAAAAATCTGGAGTCAAATGATGACTGTGAAACCAGTGTCAGTTGTCAGAACCAGCTGGACCACTAATGTCCTTGAGGGAAGGTAACCACCAACCTTGCTTAGTCTGGCGCGGCCTACATGTGACTCCGGATCCACAATAATGTCGTTGACTCTTAACTGCCCTCTGGGGGATAATAAATGTTTGTTTATCCAGTGATGTTCACATCCCATGGATGAATAAATAAAAAGGTGGGTTTGTGTAATAGGATGGAGGACATATGGAGCTGCTGGCTACCCTGGCATAATTCCTCCAATGCTGTTTTAATTTTTGCCTTTGTGACTCAAGTGAATACGTTATTTGATTTCGCTACTCCTTTAGGCATATAACTATGGATGAGCTTGAAAGTTTGATTGATTTCTTGTCACGTGTACCACAGTCAGTGAAAAACTTTGTTTACGAGCAGTACAGGCAGATCATAGTAAGCAAGTATGTACAGATCATAGTTAGTAAAAAGACTTAAACAGAGGCATACAAGTTACATTGCACAGGGCATGCGCTAGGCGAGATCAACATTAGCAAAGTCAGCATTATTTAAGGCTAAAGAGTCTGTTCATCAGTCTAAAAATGGTCAAGAAGAAGCTGTTCCTGAACCTCCTGGTGCGTGTGTTCAGGCTTCTGTATCTTCTGCCTGACAGAAGAGGTTGTGGGAGAACATTACCGGCATGCGATCGGTCTTTGATGATGTTGGCAGCCTTTCTGCAGTAGCGAGCCATGTAAATGGAGTCCTTGAATGGAAGGTTGGCTTCTGTGATGGTCTGGGCTGTGCACACCACCTTCTGTAGTTTCTTACCATCCTGTGCAGAGCAGTTGCCATTCCAGGCCATTAGGCACCTGGACAATATGCTTTCAGTGGTGCATCTGTAGAAGTTGGTGAGGGTCCTTATGGACATGCCAAATTTCCTGAGCCACCTGAGGAAGAAGAGGCATTGTTGTGCCTTCTTGACAGTCGCATCTACATGAGAAGTCCAGGACAAGTTGTCAGTTATCGTCACTCAGAGGAACTTGACGCTTTCCACCCTCTCAACCTCAGTTCTGTTAAAGTAGATGGGGGCGTGTTCACCTCCTTTCTTTCTGAAGTCAATGATCAGTTCTTTAGTTTTGCTGACATTTAGAGAGAGGTTGTTCTCATGGCACCATGTCACCAAGCCTTCTATCTTACTTCTGTATTTTGACTCGTCGTTGTTAGATATCCTTCCTACTACGGTGGTGTCATCACCAAATGTGTAGATGGTGTTCATTCGGAATTTGGCAACACAGTCGTGGGTGTACAGGAAAGACAGTAGGGTACTGAGGACACTTCCTTGGGGGGCTTCATTGTTGAGTGTTATTGTGGAGGAGGTGCAGTTACCTATCTTCACTGATTGTGGTCTGTGGGTCAGAAAACTCAGGATCCAGTTGCAGAGGGTGGAGCCAACATCAAGATCACAGAGTTTTGAGATCAGTCTGCAGGGGATAATGGTATTGAAGGTGGAGCTGTAGTCAATGAGCAGAAGTCTGACGTAGGTGTCCTTGTTGTCCAGATGTTCCAGGGATGAGTGCAGGGCTAGGGATATGGCTATGGACCTGTTACCTGTAGGCACATTTAGGGGATCAAGGTAGGCTGGGAGACCGGAGTTGATGTGGGCCATGACCAGCTTCTTGAAGCACTTCATTATTATTGAGGTCAGAGCCAATGGGCGGTAGTCATTAAGGCACATTTCGTGTGCTTTCTTAGGTACAGGGACAATGGACGTTGTCCATTGAATGCGCAGGAGGGGACTATTATCACCTTATACTTACCTTCAACCATAATCTGTTTTGTCAGCAACCAACTGTTTCTCTCATGGTCCTTGGTGCTGTAACTTAAAATCCAATGATCTTCACCCTGAGCTTTAATTTGTTTTTAATGATCATACTTTGCATTTTGAATTTTAAGTTGTGCACGATTGTGCATTAACATTGTATGTCAAATATAAACGAAAGCTGAAATTTTTTTTAACATACCAAATAATTTGTGCTGGACCTGAGTTTTGGATGGGGTTGGGAGTTGAGTATCAACAGTTGATCCTGTGGCTGCCAACTGAGTATACATGTGGTTATGGAGGTTGAGAGATTTACTTATTATAAATTAACAGGAACATTTTATTTATAGATTCATGCTTTTTTGATAATTGTGCTATATTTTCTAACAAAGAAAGCCCTAAAAAAGTCCAATGTTACTACATGACTGTATCGTCTTATGAAAATAAGACAGTGAAAATTAAAAAATGTAGTCCCTGAAAATCCAGGCATTGCCATTGGGAAAATATCACTAGGGTCCGAAGGAAGCAAATAAAACATTTGACCCTTGTCCAAAAATGTTCTTCCATTTTGGTATCCCATTGATTTCTAAATAATTCCAAGACATTTGCTTGTACTATGCTTATTAAATGAACATGAGTTTGTTTACAAGTATGAGCATGGCTTCTATATGTGCAGTTTCCTTTGTGATATTGATATCTTTTTCAGGTGAGTAGTTGGATAGAGCAAGTTGGAGAAAAGCAACTGGAGAGATGTAACGAATTGGAGGATTCACTGGATTCATTGCAAAGGACACAGGGAGAGTTCAAGAGCTTTTGCAATGTTGCTTATGTATGTATAAATTACTTTGGTTGACCAAATAAAATGTTTTGACTGTTGTCCTAAAACATTTTTCCATTTTTGTATCCGATTGATTCCTGAATTATTCCAGGACATTTGCTTGCACCACGTGAGTTCTCTGTAAGATAACTTAAAACTGAACTTGCAGCCGACGAAGTTGTTTGTTTTATGCATTTTAGTGGCAATTAAAATTATGCTTGAAATTAATGAACTTGTCCTTTGGGTACTGATGTACTAGACAAATCTGAGTGTTTTGCTGCATATGTGGCCTAGAACATTAAACCCTAAGAAACAGGAGCAGGAGTAGGTTTCAGTCTCTTGAGCCTGCTCCATTGTATCATATTATCATGGCTGATCTTAGCCTCAGTCTCAGCTCCTCCTTCCTGCCACCTCCCCATAACTCTTTAACCTGTTACTAACTAAAAATCTGTCTCCTCCTTAAATTTATTCTCTGTTCCAGTATCCATTACACTCTGGGGTAGTGAATTCCACAGATTCATGACCCTTTGAGAGAAGTAATTCCTTATCTCTGTTTTAAATCTGACACCCCTTAGCCTAAACTATGATCTTTAGTTCTAGATTGCCCAACATGGGGTAACATCCGTTCTGCGTGTTTGTCAGTTCCCTTTAGCGTACCTCAATTCAATCTTCTCCCATTCTTCTAAATTCTAACAAGTATAAGCCTCAGACTCTCTTCATAAAATCTCTGGAGTTAATCTAGTGACTGAACTGCCTCCAGTGCAACTACATCCTTCCTCAAGGGGACCAAAACTATACACAGCTCTGCAGATGTGGTCTCACCAATGCCCTGTACAATTGCAATAACACTTCATACTTTTATACTCTATTCCCTTAGCAATAAATATCAAAGTTCCACTTACCCTCCGTATTACCTCCTGTACCTGCACACTAGTTTTCTACGGTACATGCCCAAATCTTCTTGCATCAAAGAATTCTAAAGATTCTGTCCATTTAGATATTAAGTTGCCTTTATGTTCTTCCATGCAAAATGGACAACTTCACACTTATTTAAATTAATCTCAATCTGCCAAATTTTGGCCCACTCACCTAACCTATCCACATTTGATTGTAAATTTCTTATTTCTTCATTGCAACTTACTTTTCCACCTATTCTAATGTGACCTGCAACTTTGGCTATATTTTCCAATAAAATGGCATTCTATTCCTGTATCTAAGTCTTAATATATATTGTAAATAGTTAGAGCCCGAGGACTGAACCCTGTGACATCCAACTAGTTACAGCTTACCAACCAGATAAAGATATTTTTCTCCAACACTCTGCTTTCTGTTGGTTAATCAATCCTCTATCCATGCTAATATACTACCCCTACCACCATATGATCTTACCTTGTGCATTAACCTTTTGTGTGGCATCTTATAAAATGCCTTCTGGAAGTCTAGATATACTACATCTACAGGATCCCATTGTCCATTTTGCCTGTTACATTTTCAAAGAACTCTAGCAAATTAGTTCAACATGATTGACCCTTCATAGAACCACACTGGCTTTGACTTTCTAAATATTCCATTACCACTTCCTTAAAAGATCCCAACAATTTACCAAATGACCAAACATTAACCTCACTGGACTTTTGATTTGCATATTCATAGATCCTTCAAACAGGCAGATGCTTCATCCACTGAGGTAGTGCTGACATTTTAGGAGCAACCTAAGAGGCTTCCTGCCCATTATCTCATTGAGGCATTTTGGGAAATTGAAATTAACCCCATGGTGTTCTTTCACAGTATTTCAATAAGGCTTAATCTGGGACATTGTTTTCAATTTTTGTTTCCTCTCACTGGGTGTTAAAGAGAACCCAAAAAAAAATTCAGCCTATTAAAATGATCCGTGAGTAAAATTTTCAATTTTGCAATAGCTGAATGAACTAGCTCTTATTACTTTTCGAAAATGTTTAGATTTGGGAATGGCATTTAAAATTACAAAACGGTGTGGATTACCTTAACAAAAAGATTTCTTGGACTAAATGGGTTAGATAAAATGAGGGGTCAGGTGTTTAAGTTAGTGCAAACATTGTTCAATCAGGAGCACAGCGCATGCTCAGTCTATACAATCCAAATTCAGGTTCCCCCGGGACTAATCTGCTTCTCTAATCCAGGTTAGTGCAACAAAGCTTTCACAATGTCTCCACTCATGCCTGTTTGAATTTCAGTCCAGTCCTGATTATGTCTTCGGAATCAGGCATATATACATATACAAAGAATGATCTTGCTGACTTCAGGTTGATGTCCCACCTCATGCTCAGGAGAAGTGGCTAAAAGTAAAGTTGGATCCTGCTGGTTTGGCGTAATTTAAAATGCTTCCACCACCACCTCCCCTGCCAAATTTCAACCAATTGGATAAAGACTTACAAATCTATTTATTGAAGTGATTAATCGTGGAATAGTTTGTTAGCTGTCAGCACTATTGTTTCTAGGAGCTGGGTTGAAATATACCTCAGATTTCTGATAGATAGTTTCACTGAAGAGTTAAGAATTTTAATGTCACCTTGTTCACATCAGTGAATTGAATTCACTGTACAATTTAAAAGTTAAAAGTATTTTGTTGGCAAAGTGAGGGCTTCTTTGAGATTGTCAAAAGAAGTGTAAGCCAGGCTCTGCTTCATATCTCATACGTTATGAGCTAGATATTTGATCCTCGGCAGTCGACATGTACACAAATCATTCGTATGTTTAGGTTTGTTAACTATTTTGCAATCATATAGATAAATTTAGCCTGATTGTTTACACATGCTGATGTATTAAGTTGGTCGTTTTGTCTTTTTTTAGCTCCTTGTATTAAGTTCTCCAATTTCATTCTTACATTCCTGACTAAATATCCAGTTAGTTTTTAGTTGTATAATACAATTTTCTAATTTCCCTCTATTCCCTCCAAATCTCCCAAATTCTGAGGGTGCAACATGCTTAATTTAAGAATGCCTTTTAATTGCTTTAACTATTCCTCCTCATTTGGTGCTTTAAGATATTGGTGTTATCATCTTTAAACAGCTTTAACAAATGATTTGCACTTAAGTTTCTTGGCAAGGCAGTGTAAGTGGCAAATATCTGTTAATTCACACTACTGATAATTGTAATTGCTGTTAATATATTCAGCTTGTTTTTGAAAAGAGCTGCCTAATCAAATTTCTTAAAATACATATGTTAAAGGAGATTAATTGCTTAGTAGCAGCAAAGCAATGTTTCACAGCAATGAGATTGAACTAGATTCATCTTTGAGTCAAAGACATTGCACTGCAATTGGAAAATGGAAGGGGCTGACATGTTTGGGTCAGAAAATTGATCAAGAAATTCACAACTGACGAGTTATTTTGAATAACTGAGGCTAGTATCCTTGCCATTCCCAGACCTCAATTTAAAATAATCAGTCATTTTATAATTAAGAATTGCCCAACTGTCGCTGTCTACTGCATTTGTCACATTTTCAGAAGAACACCAGAAGTCGTTTAGGTGAAGATTTTGCCCACCAGATTGTTTTAAGTCAACTTTTGTGTGGGCTGTTTTCCTCTACAGTGCCTTTTTTCTTTGAAGTTAGAGTCAATGGAATGATGAAGTCCAATTAAAATTAAAGTGCTAGTTGGCAAAGTTATTCAATAATTTCCTAATTTTAGAAGAAAATTAACTGTTTAATCTTTGTGGTCAAAACTTTAGTTATTTGATGCTTGTACCATGTTTAAAAGTTTACTGGACTAATTATTTTAGTCTTTTCATTGCTTTCTGACATTGTCTGGAGTATTGTATTGAAATTGGATCTCCAAATAGCTAGGGACTAGCATGGTGATTTTTTTAAAATCATGTACCTTCTGAGAAATAATGCATTTTATCTTACAAATACTTAAGCCCCGTTCTTGTGAAATCTTTATTTCTTTTTCAATGATAACACCTTGAACCATTATTGATTTTTTTTTCCAACTATATTGAATATATGTGCTTCAATGTCATTTTGCATAGAGCAGTAATTGCATTGACCTGAAGTTATGATTCAATGCTATAATAAAGTAAAACACATTTCCCATTACTATTTTCAAGACTACATTTAACATTGACTTTTACCCATGAAATTGTTTAGGTCATATGAAAAGATTTTGATATATCGTTTATGAAGTGTATTAACTGTTATGTTAGGAAGTTACAGCGCTAGATAATTAAATTATCTCCTTTTCTTTTTCCAAGGCAAGGCTTCTCTAAAACAATATTACATGTTTTTGATTGCTCAGTTTTGAAAAGGTATCCTCTTTCATTACAGGAGTATTGCAGAAAAGGCAGAGAACTTTTGAAGAAGCTGGAACAGTGGCAAGACTTCAAGTCACCAGCATTGCATGTTTTTGAAGAAAAGTTACAGACATACAGAAAACAGTATGATGAATTTGTGAAGAACCTGGATGAATGCAGACTAAAGATTGACAGTACTTTAAAATTGCACAAATTCTTTGACAAGGTAAATGGAATGATAAATAATTTATTTTAAAGTTATTGCAGAGATGGGTTTAAGAAATGAACTGAGGTGCTCATTGCTTACAGTGGCATAAGCAAATTACTTGATAAACGTTTGCAATAACATATACGTTTGTACTGTTATATCTCCCAGCACAAGCACTAAATTATGGTAGAAGAAATAGGAATCAGAGGGGGTCATTTGCCCCCTTTCAGCCAGCTTAATTTTTTTTTTTAAAAGCACTGACATACATACATTTGCTTTATCAACTAGGTGGTGTATTCACTGTTAACTTACAATGATTCTGTACAGGGACACCCAAGTTCATCTGAATATCAACATTTCCTCAGTATTTAAAATCATGTATGCTGTTTTTCTGTTTTTTCATTCCTCTTCACACTTCCACAAATTATTCCATTTGTGTCTTTCTTACTCACAAACTGTTCGTCTCATCTTGTAACATTTTTGCGGCTCCCTCACTGCTTACTTTCCCTCTTAGCTATATTGTCAGTAACTTGATTCCTCCATCTTAAATCATTGATAGGAATATAACTAGCCGAGGACCAAGCACAGATTGTGGTATAGCCTGACATCCTGAAAATGACTGGTTTATTTCTAATGATAACAAGGTGTAGAGCTGGATGAACACACCAGGCCAAGCAGCATCAGAGGTGCAGGAAAGTCGACATTTCGGGTCTGGACCCTTCATTTTCTGAACAACAAACAACATATCTTGAGCATAATTTTCCTTTTATGTTACCACATCCCTAATGAGGGGAAAAATGCATTAGTCATAAAGGGAATGGTAGATTTCAAATGTAGGGTATAGGATTCATTTTACAAGTCTGTCATCCATCTTCAAGTCCAACACTGTCCATGTTCCATGTAATATTACTGAAAAGTTACTTTCCAGTTCTTCCCATTGTGTTTTCTGCTTGTCCTTTTGGTTCCTTGTTTGCCTGTTGTATGTATTGTTGAGAGGGCAGTCATGTGAGCTTGCCCTAGATACTGTCTAAAATCCATTGCAAATTGCCACTCAAAAGGATACACAAGAATAATGTAAGGTGTTTGCCCACCATTTTCCATCTTTTCAGTGCTTAAGTTCAAAGTTCGAATATTTTAAGAAGTCTTAATCAAAATCCAAAAGAACTGTGGATGCTGGAAATCAGAAACAAGAACAGAAGTTACTGAAAATCCTGCCAGACCTGAATTTTTTCCTGCAATTTCTATTTCTGTCAAAAAAGAATTTTGTTTTTTCTTTTGATGGAAAAGTCCAGAGTGACATGTTTCTGTGCAAATATCAAAATGTTACCTACGCAGTACTTTATTTCTTCTTTCATGGGATGTGAAGTTAACCAAACCACCTGGATGACCTCCAGCATGTTTGAGTCATGAATCAGGAATGTGGTCAAATTAAATCAACTGAAGAAAAAGGAAAATTATAATAATTACAGACAACTGCCCCAAATATCCTGACATCACCAGCCTCAAGTCAAGCTGACATTCTTGTCTCAGAGGTGATAAGGAACCTAAAAGCCAACCACAGAAGCCAGCTGAATTTTCACTTTATCAAGGCCATCAATAAGGAGGAGTTCAACCCAGCTGTTCTAGAGGACAGATGTTCATGGTCAAGGAGATGTAGAAGATGGAGATAGGAGCCACAATTATAAACTGCTTCCACTATGCTGTATTCAAAAGGCTACAACTGAGCAAGATACAGAGAATGGGCGGGGAGCAGAATGATGCCAACCACCCCCACAATGAGGCTCTTTCACTTGCCTAAGGGAGGCTGGCATGGAATTTCAGCAGAGACAGACAGTCATAAAAACTTACTTTGAGGTGGACAACACCACATGTTGCAAAATGCAACAGATAGATGAGACAACAGTAGATGCAATACACTCTTCAATTGAGGAGGTTTTTGAATACTGCCCCACTTTGAATACTGCCTGGCTTCAAATCTGAAGTTACGATGATTATAGAAATGCCCTAGAATTTTGCATGAAGTGCAATATGAAAACTCAGAAGATATTTGACTGCATTGACAACATAGCAGAGTATATTGCACTCATCCAAAGAAAGCAAGCTAAAGAAAAAAGAGCTAACTTCCAGCATTTTTCAGTGTTTTTTTTATTTTACAAGATTAGGCCACCATAAGGTTGAAAAACCATCACAAATTGAAAAATACAGATGTTTTTCACATCGTTACAGTGTCACTGTTTTTGTATTTTTTTTGATAGACTTCATTTGTAGGCAAAATATGGCTATATTGAGCTTCCTAAACTATACCAAAATGCCACTAACCACAAATGTAGTTTCAAGAGTTATCTTTTAACCAACTAACACTACCCTGGTTTGTGGGTGACAACTTCTGGGAAACACCCAGCTCCTTAGCATACGAGTTATCCAATTTCTAAGCCTTTTTAGCCAACCCAAATAGTACCTCCAAGTACTCCATCTTTTCTGCTAGGTCTTCCTGAGAGTGATTTTCTTTTTTTCACAACAATTCTTATGTTCCTTTTCATGCGTCTATCTGCTTTCTCTATTACTAGATCAACTTGAGGTTGGAAATGACTGTCCCCATTACTCATCTATCCAGTATATTTGTACGCTTGTTAAGTATTCTTTAACATGAAAAATTAAGAAGCTTACACATTATCATAATATCCCAAAGAATTTTATACATATTAATTACATTAATGTAAAATTCCTACTTTCACATAGCAAATTGAAGCTGTCAGTTGAGCTGTTTGAGTGATTCTTGATGAGGTTTAAATATTGTTTGGATGTTTGCTCTTTTACAAATACTTTAGGACCTGTTGTATCCTTCTGGTCAACTTAATTGGGCCCCAGTTTAATATCTCATCCAAAATCCAATGCTAGCAATGTGGTTGAACTACTTCGATCTAGATTACTGGTGAAATCCAGAATAGGGTTCTGACCCACAGATGAGAATTTCATACTGAACAAAGCTGACCCTCATGAAGGTACATTTTCCTTAGCTTACCATTCTCTTCATAATTTTATAAATCTGATTGTTTACCAACCCAGATTAATTAACTTTCATTGTAGTAATCATGGGATGAAATTTCAAATTGACATTCTGACATAGAACTGCTATTGTAGATCAGTTGCTTATTTTAGAAATTAACAATTCTATTGAAGTATGAATTTTAACCAGGAGAATGTAACTTCCTAGTTTGTTTATATTTGTTTGCAGCATTAAAATTGCCAACATTTTAGATAGTCAATGAGCAGGATTTTTCAGACGACAGGCTTTCTAGACACAGTTAGCAAAGAATGCATCCATGCCAACACTGTTGTCCCATGGTACTGCCGTTAGTGGAGTGGACAAAATTAGGACTGCAGGCAGCTCCTGATTTTCAGTCCCTGTGTCTAGGAGCACGTAAGTGTAGATGACTTCACTGCAGAATGGAGAGTGAGGTCTGTGGGTCTGTGGAGAGGGGTTTGTGTATTGTTGATGAAGAAGTTAACAAAGGCAATAGACATACCCATGGAGGGGGAAACATTCCTTGGGGGTGGTTGATGCTCAATCTGGATAGGAGACGATTGAAAGAGACACCTATGGTTGCCCTCACCCCCACCCATTCCCCCCTACCACTCATGAATATTTCCCCCTCAGCCTTAAAATGAGGCATGGTGGAAAGTATTCCCTAACTGGTCATTAGTTGTCCATTTAAGGGTCTTAGTTGAGGCAAGGCTGGCACACTGTCCTAGGCTGCCCCAATCTCTGAATAAAATTGCAAATTGGTCTGGGCAGGTGCGAGAGCAGTGTAAAGTACATCTGGAGATTTTTTTCTGATTTTCCCCAATTGAGCCCAATGTGTGACAGGTGTTTCGGCAGTTACAAAGTTTGAATAACTACTCCACTTAGCATAATCTTACATAGAATTGAGTATTTTAAAAAAAATCATACTCCCAGTAGATGTTAAATTAAGTGATTGCAATTAGATCTATGTGACATTTCCGATTATAAATAATTTCCACTAAGGTGCATTTATTCCTCGTGGAAGCATCCCTTCCTAAACGTTTGAACTGAAAGCAGAGGTTTTCCTGTCATTTGCATGCTATGACAATACTGCACAGTCTAACAAACATCCCCTTAGCAACTGCCCTGATTGTGTTAAAGCTAAATAGAAAAGAGTAACCATCCATATCCATAACTATCCAAACCATTGTAGTCACAACATCTATGCGACATGTGATGCCTTTTATGGCATAATAAAGAAATTATGGCCACATTCATGTTAAATCTGCCTTCAGTTGCATTTTTCAGGCATTCTTTCCGCTTTATATACGTACCTAATTGAAATGCATCAAGGATTTAGATAAAGCATTTATTCAACAATTGGTCTTGCCTTTTTCCAGTCACACTGATTATTTGGGCTAATTCTGTTAAATGGGTCTTTGATGAATGTCTTCTACTTTAACTATTTCCTCAAATTCTTAAAACAAGTAATAAAATGAAACATTGTTATTTTCTAATGTTATAAGGTACTGTTTTAGTTCATCTAAAATAGATATGGACGCTTGTCCTATTTAACAGCAAATTAGTTTTGAATGCTAGAATGATTTTTTTGATTAAGGGATTTGAGTGGTAATTAGTAATTACAACTCATTCAGCACAGAACAGCTTGAATGTGCTATCATGAGTAAAGTTTTGAAACTTGGGATTCAGTCACATCATTGATCATTTTAAGGCAGTAGTTCAGCATTGTAATACTTAAATTCATTCAGTATGTTTATTGCATTCTAAGCTACACTTCTGAATAAGGCAAGGTTTCCTAATTGTTCTACTTTTATATTTAATGTTTAATTTAAATAGCACTTCTATCAAAATACTTCATCGATAGGACATTGTCAGTAAAAGTTTTTGGAAAGTGTCTTGAGTTGTACATTGGAATGCAAGTTCTCTCAAATAGAGAAGCTAAGCAGAACTTTGCTGTTTGTGTGGGTTGGTAGGGAAGGCACGTGAATTTGTA